GGAAAAGGCATGTGGGACAGCACAGCTCCAAGAGTTGTTTTTTTTTTAAGAACAGGATTGTTGATGCCATCTGCCCAAGTACCAGGAAAATGGATAGAGCCTCTTTTCTCTGGCAAGCGAATGAGGTGATAATGAGACTTTAGAGTTTGTTTGTGGCAGATGCTTTCATCTTAACAGTTTATTATGAAATGTGCCCCCACATGGTTACAGCATCAATAGATACAGTGGTACCTCAGGTTAAGAACTTAATTTGTTCTGGAGGTCTGTTCTTAACCTGAAGCACCACTTTAGCTAATGGGGCCTCCTGCTGCCCAATTTCTGTTCTCATCCTGAAGCAAAGTTCTTAACCCGAGGTAATATTTCTGGGTTAGCGGAGTCTGTAATCTGAAGCGTATGTAACCCGAGCTACCACTGTATGTGCTATCTCTATGTGGAGGCAGTGCTTTTTTTCTTTAAAAAATGTTTAGGGGTACTCTCATTTTCCTACTCATACTGAAATACTGCCCCTCAATGAGGCCGAACTTAGATTTACAAAATGTTTAGGAGTATGTGTACCCCTGCGTATCCCCAGGAAAAAACACTGCATGGAGGACACATGCTTAAGAAATATTTCTCAGATGAATTTACTAAGGTAAAATGATCAGTATTCATATGAACTAACAGCCTCAAGGAACCTCCCCTTTGCAAGCCCCATTTATTTTCATGAATTATGTGATAACAGTGTGTTTTGCAGTATTGTTGGAAATGCAACATGTAGGCTGTCATTCTACAACCACATAGAACATACATAAATGTTTGCAAGATTTGAGCTCCAAAGTAGGACAGGATATGTGTGTTCTTATTTTATGGAGCTGTGATAATATCAAGAGAGTTTCCACAATGTATAGCAATTAACAGTATGAACAGTATGAACAAGAGACATTTGAAGTACCAGTTAACTAATTATGTAATGCAATTACTGGAGTTTTTTACACAAGACAAAGCATTCTGAAGTTTAATCCAAACCTATCTGTAATTTCTAGATCACTTGCAAGAGATGGGTCAGTAGGCTAGTTTGTCATAAAATTCACAGTTGTTGGAAGGTTAGGGTGGTAATTAATCTCTTTCTCTATGTCTGTCATAACAATAACATGATGAGTTAAGAGACTATTAGTGCCTGATTTTGCTGTGGTGTAAAACCCAACATTGAAGAAACATACAATAGCCTATTGCAGCACCCCCTTGGGATGTCTGAGACTATCGCTATTTGTCTGTTTAATGCATTTGTTTGTTCCAATTAGTGTTTTAAACAACAGGCAGCATCTCTAGAGGAACAACAGAAGGCAAAAGCAATAGGCCAGGATATATATACGTGTGTGTGTGTGTGTGTGTGTGTGTGTGTATGAGCGAAATGGCAAAATGGCTACCCACACTGCAATTTGTCATTACTTTAATGCTCTTGTGCAATTTGAACAACTCTGGGTATCCCAATTCCATCTGTCTTCTGGATTCGACAACATTACAAAAAGAAGTACTAGGACACACCTCCTATAGACAAGTGTTGTATTTCTTCAGTCATTTTGTCTTGACGTATCTTTGAATAGGTGTGTTTGATTTAGAAATTTCGTGCCTTTGACTAATTCTACTTGGGAAAAGTCACTGTAGCCTCCTGAGGTGTCTACACAAAGCAGGAGCAGTGCCAGAATATTTCTTGAACATCTAACCCAGCTAGCAGGCCCAGAACTCCATAGTTGGAAGGCTGGTCTGCGTTCCATGATGGTTCTGGATATTCCTAATTCTATCTAACCTCTAGACCAGGCAATGTCACAAAAAGAGTTGCCAAGGTGCACCAGCTGAAATGGATTATAGCATGTAGGCATGAGAGATATCCCAGTCCTATGCTCTTCGGAGATGAATAGGTCTGTTTATCCAAAGGTTATTTTGATTTGCTGGGGAAATAGTGGCTTTGTCTTACCTGAAGAACAATCTCTGTGTATCTGTCAAGAGTTGATCATTCCCATGCAAAAAATTAGTTCTAGAAATTTATTATGGTAGTCCAAGATCATTGCTGCATTTTGAATATAAATAGTATGAATTTGACTGTATATATAGTTTCTATTTCACTTAATAATTTCTCCCACAAGCCAGTCAACATTTTCTCTCTTTCATAAGGTTGGCTTCTTCTCTGCTCTAGAAGACTGGTTGTATTTAGATCTGCAGTCTATGACTGATTTGATTTGATATGAAATAATGTGATATCATATGATATATACTCTCATTGCATTATAAGATGTATCCCTATATGAACAATGTCTGAAGCAACACTTGTCAAATAACTAGAAAGTGAAAGCTGTTTATGCTCAGGTAGTATAAGCAGGTTACATAGAATGCTTACAGATTTATTCTATACTACAAAAACATGTGATTTTCAATAATAATAATAATAATATAATTTACTTATACCCCATCCATCTGGTTGGGCCTCCCCAGCCACTCTAGGCAGCTCCCAACAGAATATTAAAAACATGATAAAACATTAAACATTAAAAACTTCCCTAAACAGGGCTTATCCTATATAGGTTTATATTAAATTTTATTTGCTATATTTGTAACTAACACTTCCTCCAAGCAGTTTAGGGTGACTTTTTCAACTTTAAAAAGAAAAATCCTTGGGAGAGTATACATCGTAGTTGTGGCGTCCTCAAGGCAACTACACCCAGTGCAACTAAACTGGTCGTGTTACTCTAAATCCGCCTCTGTTCCTGCTCTCTGTACATTTAGAATACCCTCATGTAAATGTCTGTTCAGGTCAAAAGTCACCCAAGTAAGCATCATAACTGAGATCCATTTATTTATTTTATTTATTGAATTTATATACTGCCTTATATCTGAGGGTCTCAGGGCGGTTCACAGAATGAAATGAAGATATAAAACCACAAAATACATAATAAAATAAAAACAACAACCCAATAGCCCCCCCCCAAAAAAAACATTTTAAAAGGGCATAGGATGTAAATCAGGTCAACCAAAGGCCTGGTTAAAAAGGAACATTTTTGCCTGGCGCCTAAAGGTATATAATGAAGGCGCCAGGCAAACTTCCCTGGGGAGAGCATTCCACAGATGAGGAGCCACTGCAGAGAAGGCCCCGTTCTCGTGTTGCCACCCTCCTGACCTCTCGAGGAGGAGGCACACAAAGGAGGGCCTCAGAAGATGATCCTGGTAGGTTCATATGGAAAGAGGCAGTCCTTAAGGTATTGGGGTCTTGAGCTGTTTGGCATTTGTCTGTCTAGCTCAGTATTGCCTACAATGACTGGTACTGGCTCTCCAAGATTTCATGCAGACCTACCTAGAGACGCTGAGCTAAAGCCCTTCCCCTAAGAATAGTTAGTTCTTTCTTTGTATTTTTGTACCTCCTTCAAAATAGCCAATCTCTTGAATGTTAACCCTACTAGACTGAAATGAATAGAGGAGGAAATAGGAAAGACACATAGCCCTACCTATTCCACCTTTGTGTTTCTGTAGGGGACTGACACTTACAACAGTTCCCTATGTTCCACAGTGCAAATTATTTTGCCCACTCTACCCATTAAGCCTTACTGGTAGAAATGGCTGCTATGCTGGCCCAGTAGGCAGCTCTCCTGAGATCCGTGCAGAGGCCACAATACAACCACTGTTGAGAGCCACAAACCATGCTTGTGCCATGAGAAGAAAGATTGCGTGTTTTGTACAAGTTCCAAGATTTCTTTGGACATATCCCAAAAGAATAGTTAGAACGGTAGTATAATACGTAATTGCATCAGCGTGACAGGAGAATCCAAAGCACTTTAAAAATGATTCATCCCATAGGCAGGAGATGAGTCATTTAAGATGAAATGTTTAATATGTATTAAATTACATATTATGTCATTTTAGCTATAAAATGATGAACGCTGCTCTATGGAATTTGGCATTCCAATATGTATTTTCAAAGGTCACCTTCAGAGTGAGGATTGCACAAGTCTTTTTCTGCTCTTCGTGATCTAGATTTGCCCAGACAGTAGATATTACTGTTAATAATCAGTCATTATAATTATATATTCATTGTTAGCAATTTTATTCCTATTATTGCTACCTGAAGGAGAAAATATCTCAAATGGAACAATTCCCCTGGAACTTTTCTTCTACAAGCTTCATTGAGATAAAGAAGGATTTTGTAGGAGTGTTTATATGGGATATTCAGAGGGTGCCTGCCAGCTGTTGCTTCATCCCGGACTACGCTGGCTGAGCCTGACAAGTGTTGTAGTCCCAAACATCTTGCAATCCAAACATTTCTGCACTGGCTATTCCTGATGTATATCTTTATTATCACACCTCTGCAAACTGTACATTCTATTTTCTATTATCTTGCATCATGCAGACATAAGCTTATCTAACACAAGGCCAGGTAATTGCACAATACATAAACAGGAGGGGAGCAAAGCAAAGCCTATAGAAAGCAGGCTAGAGAGATAAGGAGGATGCAAAAGTTTCTATCAACATGCAACAAACCTGAGCACAATCTGGTGAAAGCTAGGTAAAGCTAAAGGACCCCTGACAGTTAAGTCCAGTCGCAAACGACTCTGGGGTTGCAGCGCTCATCTCACTTTACTGGCCAAGGGAGCCGACATTTGTCTGCAGACTGTTTTTCCGGGTCATGTGGCCAGCATGACTAAACCGCTTCTGGCGAAACCAGAGCAGCGCACGGAAACACCATTTACCTTCCCGCTGGAGCGGTACTTATTTATCTACTTGCACTTTGACATGCTTTTGAACTGCTAGGTTGGCAGGAGCTGCGACTGAGCAACAGGAGCTCACCCCATCACGTGGATTCGAACCGCAGACCTTCAGATCAGCAAGCCCTAGGCTCAGTGGTTTAGACCACAGCACCACCCGCGTCCCTTACTGGTGAAAGCTAGGCATGTCCAAATCATGGGGACTAGCATCCAGCTGAAATATCTGCTTTCAGTTGTTCTTTATGGCACATAAGTGTACATAATCCAATGGCTCAGTCAGGAATCCATTGGCTCAGTCAGCAGAGCATAAGACTTCTAATCTTACGTTCGTGGGTTCAAGCCCCACATTGAACAAACAATTCCTGCACTGCAGGGAGTTGGACTGTTGTGGTCCATACTAGATGACCATTGTGGTCCCTTTCAACTCTGTGATTCAACTCTATACCTCCCAAGCACTTCTCAGGATAACCAAACAACAATTGCACCTACATATCTGTGCAATTTTCTAGATGTCACACAGAGCAAATGTTGATGGTCCTGGTTAGAAACCATGGTGAGCAACCAGAATCCTAGATTATATCGCAGGAAGGAACTATGGGAAAGCAGCCCACAAAAGAAATTATGGACTAATCTACACTGGTGAATTATAATGTTAAGAACGCGTTATAAAAATGTGACACCAGAGGACGCTGTACAGCAGTGATATTTTGCCATTGAGAAATTGCATTGGGAGCTATATTTTTATAGTGTTTTAATAGCGTTTTCCAGATCAGTGTAGATTCAGCATCTGTAAGTATATAAGAAGGACTTTTTTCCTTAGAGATATAGGGAAGCCCTCCCACTGAGAAATTCATTTACAATTCAATCATATGCTTGTATATTCAGAAGTAAATCCCTTTTATAAGAATATTTATATACTGCAAGTTCATACAACATAACATGGCGGTGTACAGCAATGTCTACAATAAACTATAAAACTATATAGAATGATCATTAAAATGACTGTCAGTGTCATCAAATGGAGCCTCCAGCATGAATGGAATTGGGAGACATTGATCAAGTACATCCGATTTCCATAATTAACCACATGTAAATATTCCCACATTTTTAGATGTTTGATTCAGACCAGACCAATGTTGCAGATGCTTAAAATCAGCAGTTACCCAAAATAAAACCCCAGTCCAGTCTTAAATTGAGAAAGTGATATATAAGAGAACCATATCTGAACATCCCCTTTGCAACTTCTTAGAAGGGGCATTTATCACATGTGCCATTGCAATTTATTTTATTTATGAATCTATATTGCATTGTACTCGTGATGTGGAAGCTTCTGAGAGCAATTGGCTGAGCTCATATGGCAACATATTTGTGGATGTTTCAATCACTTGGGGAACAAAGCTGTCAGAATATCCATAGTCTACGTTCTGTGAGGGGAAGGAGGCATGTCAGTTTGTCTGGGATTACAATATCAAAGGCTAAACATAGCATTGTGAGCTAGTTGAGGACTGGAGGGGTATGCAGGGAAGGAAACTAAGAAGTAGGGAGCCCTGAGGCAAGGTGGATGAATGAACGCTGCCAAATAGGCAATGGACTGAGAAACAGCAACACAAGGAGACTGATGGAAAAGGCAGAGGGTATTGAAAAATGTGAGGTGGGAGGCTCAGCAGACATATCATGATGCACATGAAATTGTGTGATGGTTTTTTGTTGTTGATATTATTGTGAAATTGCTTTGAGATTTTATGGAGAGAAATTCATAAATGGAACTAAATAATAATAAAATAAATGGTGGTGGTGGTAATGGTAATGGGGAATAGAAGCCTTTGCCATGCTACCATTGAAATATTAACTACATCTGTGGTAAGCCAGTACAGTATTGACCTGAATTCACGTTTTTACCTTCCAAGTTTACCAGTGATTCTAAACACCATCTGGCTATTTCATTAACATTAATTAGAACCATCAGTCTGGGTATATCTCGAAAGAGAGCCAATTAGTAGGCTCTGGTGCATTTATTATTGTAAGCAAATGCAATATTTATTGCACAAAGAAGTAAATTACAGAGAGGTTGTGTGGCATTTCTTGAAATGATTCAATTAGATTCAAATCTGATATTGAATAAAATGGGAACGTCCCCCATTTTGGGGTTCCTCAGATAACCAATTGTGATGGATTCTATTGCTATGTTTTCTTGGGCAAAAATGAAGGAGGTCCACCATTCAAGTATCCACAAAGATGCATGTTATTGAGAATTGAGATTAAGCTTGTTTTACTTTTGAAGCCACTTCTAATTATAAAGAGAGCAGATTGTGTGAGAGAAGGGGGGAGGGGCTACACCCAGCAGGGCTGGCTCATCTATCAAGGAAGATGAGGCAACCACCTCAGGTGGCAGGATCCGCGAGGGCAACAGATCCAGCCACCAAGGAATGCATTGCCCACCGCTGCAGCCACTGCCACAGTGGCAGTGACAGTGCCAGCTGTGGTACCCCCCTTGGAGATTTGCCGCCTCCTGGAGGAAGACATCAGAAGTGCCTCCTATTTGCTGAGAGGCCACTGTGCAATGCTGCTTCCTCCACAGCAGTCTCTTGGCAGACAGAAGCTGCTGCCGTTCTCCTCAGTGGTGGAGCATATGTCTGCACTGCCCAGGGCGGGTGCATTCCCGAGGGGGGAGGGGCGTGGAGGGTGCCCTCCCAGGTGCAGGATAGCTGCTCGGGTGCATGGAAGAAGAAGAAGAAGAGTTGGGATTTGATATCCCGCTTTATCATTGTGACGTTAACATATAAGAGTGCTGGAGGCAAAATAGTTAAACAAGTTACCCAATCAGAATCCAGGGGGTGGAGTCAGAGGGACTATAAAACCAGCTCTGGGAGGGGCAAAGGAGGAGTTGATTGGGAGTTGGGTGGTTGGTTGGAGTGGGAGTGAATTGGGATAGAGTCTGTGGGTAGGTTGAGTTAGTGTAGCGAAATAAGCTGAGTCAGGAACAGTTGGGAGCTAGGAAGACAAGTAAATATCTGAGAGGTGGTTTAGTGAGTGAGAGCAGATAGCGGAAGTTACAGGTCTGGATAGGCACCCCATGATTGTAATTGACCGATACCATTTATGAAACCACACGCTTGTTAAACTGCAATAAATAAACAGAAGTTTATGTTCCAATTTAACCCTGACTGGACTTAGTATTGTACCAGGTAGGGCCTGGGTGGTGGCAGCGAGAAATAAAATGGTGGCACAGAGATCAATAGACGGTGAAATGTCTGGGGACCCTGTGTGATCGTCACAATCACTACCCTAAGGAGTCTCAAAGCGGCTAACAATCTCCTTTCGCTTCCTCCCCCACAACAAACACTCTGTGAGGTGAGTGAGGCTGAGAGACTTCAGAGAAGTGTGACTGGCCCAAGGTCCCCCAGCAGCTGCATGTGGAGGAGCGGGGACACGAACCTGGTTCACCAGATTACGAGTCTACCTCTCTTAACCACTACACCACACTGGCTCTCTGCGGAGCGTCACGCGCCCTGCAGCCAGGGGCGGAGTGAGCCAACCACGGGAGCTGAGCGAGCCGCTAATGGCGGACATTCAGCGTGCTGTCTTCCTGCAACTCCCAAGCCTCCCCCGAGTTTTCAAAATGAAGGGGGAAGCGGGGAATGCCGCTGGCAAAACAGCACAGCTCCCCCGGGGTAGGCTTGGGAGTCGTGGGTGGGCAGCGCGCCAAATGTCACCCCCTTCAGTGAAGACACCCGGGGCAGTCTGCCCCCACTGCATCCCATTCCTCCACCCCTGGTTCTCCTCTTCCTGGGGAGGAAATAGCAAGAGCTGCCCTCTTCTGGACTTCTTGGCTCTGTACCCACCCAGCATGATTCAGAGTGGGCCACTCCCTACCCACAGCGGCCTTTGATTCCCAGTTCAACCATCGGGTAAGGTTGATTTGACCCCCCCTCCCCTTGTTCCCAATGTAGATCTTCACTCCCTCCTTGTTCCTGATGTATAGCTTCACTCACCATTTCTTTCTTGGCCAAGGAGGTGCCATTTTGTGATTTGCCTCAGGTGCCAAAATGTCTTGGGCTTGCCCTGCCACCAAGGCTGCTTCCTCATTGAAAGAGACATGTGAAATGCTGATGACTTCTTTGTGTCTTGTTGCACATGTACTGTTAACCACCTGAAGCATTTGATGTTTAACCATGTCGCCATTAGCATTATGTCTTGCATAATGTAAATCTTACCTGCATTCTGGCCACTAGATTGATAAAACAGGGAGCCACAGCTAAAAGATTATAAAACTAGGAACATTGGATATTGCCTTACACCAAATTGGTCCATCTTGCTCAGGGGTATCTACACCAAGGGTGGTGAACCAATGGCTTTTCACAAGCCATCTGCAGTTACTACAGGGAGGTTGATGTGATTCCAGTGTCCAGGGGTGGCCATACTTCACTCAGAACAATTTTCATTCCATCTTTGGCAGAATCAAATCCTATCAATTGCAGAACCTCCAAGGGTCCCTATTTTCCAGAGACATTCCTGAATTTACAGAAGCCGTCCTGGTTTCTGGTTTGATCCCGGAATGTCCCGTTTTTCCTTAGGATGTCCCTATTTTCATCAGAGAAATGTTGGAGGGTATGGCATTATGTGACTCCCAAGCCAAGGAAATAAGTACAATCTTTAGAAGAAATCTGAAGGCAGCCCTGTATAGGGAAGGTTTTTTTTAAAAAAATGTTTAATGTTTTATTGTGTTTTTATATATGTTGGAAGCCACCCAGAGTGGCTGGGAAAACCGAATCAGATGGACAGGGTATAAATTGTTGTTTTTCTTGTTATGGAATAGGGTGTCTCTATTTTCATCAGACAAATGTTGGAAGGTATGCAATTTCAGGGCAGGGCCTTGTCTCCTTGTCCCTCCCACTCTCCCAGTAAGCAGCAGTAACTTGGCTGCTGGGAGGTCAGGTAAGTGCCACGACCCCATCCTTCACCCCACCATCCATGGCTAGATAGTTCTCTCATATACCACTCCAAAGGCAGTCATCATCATCATTAGCAATGACAGCTTGATGTACAACACAAAATGAGCTATAATAATAATATTAATTTATTATTTGTACCCTGCCCATCTGGCTGAGTTTCCCCAGCCACTCTGGGCGGCTTTCAACAAAGATCAAAAATACATTAAAATGTCACACATTAAAAACTTCCCTGAACAGGGCTGCCTTCAGATGTCTTCTGAATGTCAGGTAGTTGTTGTTCTCTTTGACATCTGGTGGGAGGGCGTTCCACAGGGCGGGTGCCACTACTGGGAAGGCCCTCTGCCTGGTTCCCTGTAGCTTTGCTTCTCGCAGGGAGGGAACTGCCAGAAGGCCCTCGGCGCT